TTGGGCAGGACACTGCCAAACTTGGCCCTCATCAGAGTTTTGGACTTCAGAGTCAGTCACCCCATTTCACAGCTAAGGTGCCACCGTGGGGCTATTCAGGTGGGACTGGGACATTCCCTCTTGTCCTTTGGTGCACAGCAGTGGCAAGGCTGGCTGCATATCAGGTTTGACCTAATTTGGGCAAAGCAAGGACTGAGATTGTAGTTGTGTGTCAGGTGGGGAAACTGAGGCACAGAGCAAGCAAGGATTGCTTTTAGTGGGGCCAGCCAGGTGGGGTGAAGGGGCACAGGTGGCTACTTCCCATCAACTCTGAACTTCCCAGCAGCATTTGTGCTCCCCCAAAAGGTCACAAGGGACTACAGGGGCATGAACAAAGGCCACCCTGGGGCGACACCACATGCATGGGGAACTCTGTGGTACAGGGAAGCAGAGGGTCCTGGGGTGATGCTGAGGTCCAGGTTTCATGAAGAAGCCCTTTCTCTGGCCCCTCTGGCCACAGTGCCTCCCCATCACCCCTCATCCCTGCTAAGCCAAGCTGATGGCCCTTGGTGGCCTCTTCTCTCTCACAGGTGTCAGCTCTGTCACCCGATGAGGTGACAGCCAACCCACCAGCATGCCCTGGGCATTGCCGCTGCGATGGTCACCATGGGGACGGCCTGGTGTGAAAGCCTTGGTCACTGCTGGGGTGTTTGTAACCACCCTCTGGAACCTGAGGTTCTTCCTCAACCCGTCCAAGGGCTCTGGAGAGGACTCTAAACACAGGGAGCCATTAGTGATCCTGGTGTGGGAATGGCCCTCCAAGCAGGTCCCCAATGTTAGCAGAGATGTGTGCCATGAGCTGTACAGAATCACAGGCTGCCAACTCACCACAGAGCGGCAGCTCCTGCACCAGGCCGATGTGGTGGTGTTCCCCCATTCCAGGCTCCAGCCTGGCCGGGACAAACTACCCAAGGAGAGGCTGCCAGGGCAGAACTGGGTGTGGGTCTCCCTGGAGTCCCCCTCCAACACTAGAGCTCTAGAGACATGGAACAAGACCTTCAACTGGGTGATGACCTACAGACAGGATTCGGACATCTTCATCCCCTATGGCAAGCTTGTGCCCAACCAGTCAGCCACTGTGAACATCCCTGCAAAGACCAACTTGGTGTCCTGGGTTATCAGCAACTACCACAGGACTCAGAAAAGAGCTGAAGTCTACAAAAACCTCTCCAGGTATCTCCATGTGAATATATATGGGAAAGCAAACAACAAGCCCCTCTGCAAGGACTGTCTCTTGCCAACAATATCCAAGTCCAAGTTCTACCTGGCTTTTGAGAACTCCATCCACCGGGACTACATCACAGAGAAACTCTGGAGGAACTCACTGCTGGCTGGCAGCGTGCCTGTGGTGCTGGGGCCCCCCAGGGCCAACTATGAGCAGTTTGTTCCTGCAGACTCCTTCATCCATGTCAACGACTTTGGTTCCCTGGAGGAGCTGGCCACCTTCCTGAAGACCATGAACTCCAGCCGCTACCGGCAGTTCTTTGCCTGGCAGAGGAAGTTTAGTGTGAAACTCTACACCGACTGGAGGGAGCGGATCTGTGCCATCTGCACAGCCTACCCCCGCCTGCCCCATGGCCGCCTCTATCCTGACCTGCAGAGCTGGTTCAACTCCTAGTGTGTGCTGGGACCCTCGGGATGAATGCAGGCAGCGTGGGAGGTGAACGAGGCACCCACCTGCACACAGGATGTGAAGCAAGGACAGGAGCCCCCACTCTTCTCCTAACCCAGCTGTTGTCACACTGTGACTTCAAGCAACTCCCTATGACTTCATTTCTTATGAAACAGGACTTATCACCCCAACCTAACACCGAACACATTGCCAGGGTGCTGGCAGGACCAGAAGGTGCTTTGGAAATAAATGCCACAGTGTATCTGAGGCTGTGCATGTAGTGTGGGCAGAGCAAGGGGGTGGTGGGTGGCTCGGGGCTCCCCAGCCTTCCCCTGTGATCCTCAATTTCCCCCCAACACCTGCTGAGTGCCAAAGTCCTGGCTGCAGAGGTCCTGTGGTGACATTTGTGGCTGGGCTGGAGGAGTGGGAATCAGCCCAGGGGGGTCAATTTACCCCATGGCCAGGGAGGAAGGACAGCATCTGCTCCCTCTCTTCCTGGCAACACCCATTTCCTGTCCCCCACCCCTGAGCCGTGGGTGCCACTGTGCCAGTGAGAAGCCACAGGGCAGCGGATGCTCTCAGAGCAATCTCAGTGCTGCCAGGCAGGCAGAGGGACACTGTAGTTTGTCACTCCCTCCCTCCTGTGACAGGAAGCCAGTGAGCGGACAGCCTCTGGAGGCTTGCATAACCCAGAAGCAAAGCCAGTCCCATGGGCAACTTGCTTATGCGCACATTGCACTGGGGAAATCCTGCACCATGGGCACCCTCCATACCCAGCACAGAGGGCAGGAGGGCACCCTGCACCATGGGCATCCCAGGAGGAAGTACCCATCTGGGATCAGTGGTGCTGTCAGGGCTGAGTGACAGGACAAGGGGTAAGACATGACTGCTCCATCTGTGCCTTGCTCTTTGCCCCTCTACTCAGTGACAGTGACATCAACTCCCTTGATATAAATAATTCTTTTTGTCACAAGCTTCCTTTCCAGTTTTCTTCCTGTAGCCCTGAAGTCACCAAACCCCATCTCTACACCCTGCAAGCAGCTGGGTGCCCAGGACTGAGAGTCAGCAGAGGGGACATCCCTTCCCTGGCACAGCCCGGGTGAGGTGGCAGCTGGATGGGCACACTGCTCTTCTGACTTCTGTGGTTTCCGATTTCCGCTGTTTTCTGGGTCAACCAGAAGCGGAACAGGAGGGGCTGTGGGTGCCCACAGACAGATGCTGGGTACTCATGGGCAGGGGGTGCCAAGGTAGCAGGATGCGGGGGTCCCATGGTGGGCTGCAGCTCTTGTACGGCTGCATGCAGAAAACCAGAGTGGAAATGTGGAGAGAAGCAAACCTTTGGGAGATGACATCTGCCTCATATTTCTGCTCCTAACCCTGCCAGCTTTCTGCACCCCTCAAGCGCCAGGCAGCACTGGGCAGCAGCAACAGGGGGCAGTTTCCAATGGATGCCATGCATAGCTGTGCCTCTACCCTGTGGGCAGGCAAGTAGGAGGCTCTGGGGATAAGCAGGGATGCAGAGGGGCCCTGCCCCATAAGGCTGGAATCTAGCCCAGCCCAGCCCTTTGCAGGGTCCCAAGGTGCCCTGTGAGCAGCTGCCTTCATTGCCCCTATTCCAGGGAGCCCTAGAGAGCAAAGCTCCAGCTATCACCCACAAGCTGAAAAAACAGGGCTTTCCAAAAATTTCCCTACAGGCTTGGTTGGGGAAGGGGCCTCGGGAGAATGGACTGAGGGCAAGCCAACTGAGAGTGTGGTGGGAAAAAGTGAAGGATCATCCCCCAGACATCCCCGCTCCAATCAGCTCAGCTCGCAGTGCTCAGTAGACCTGCATGGCTGGGTTGTTATCACGCCACCAGAGACTGCCTCAGCTAGACCAAATATATGGGAACATTCATCCCTCCCCTGTCAGCACCATAGTACAATGAGGACAGCCCCAGCTTTCCAGACCACTGCCCACCCTGCTACCTCATTCTTAGTTCTTCTCTGTCCCTGGCAGCTGCTGGAGCAGCCTACAAGTAAGCTCACACTGCTTCCAACCTTCCCAGAAGCCGTTACAGCAAACCAGCAGCTTGGACTGGGTGGAAGATGACCCCCTACGCTTTGAGGGGCAACAGCTCTGACAAGCTGATACCACTCCAGGGCAAAGCTGCCACCAGTTGTGGAGGGAGGCCAAGCTGCAGGCAGCCAAGAGAGAAATGTTGCTGGCATGATGTGGTGATGGGGACATGTTCACCTTCTTAGGGTGCCTTGCTCCAGCTCTGCTGTGCCCCTACATGCAGCCAACCCTCACCTGCTGGGCTGCAGGAGCAGGGATGCGAGGAAGGCAAGGACAGGGTTAACTCATGCTTACCTCAAAGAACTCTGAGGTTTATTTCACTGCCAGAGGGAATGTGATTAAGAACAAAAAATAAAAAAAAAAAATCATCATTAACTACAGAAGGCTGGAAGGCGAGGGGTGCTAGCAGCATGGACAGGGTGGAGTAGGTTCCCAGGGCTGGGCCCTCCAGGGAAAGGTGGTCTCTGGGCAGCTGGGCTGGGGTGGGGGACAGCAGCTGGAGAGCAGGGGCGGCCTGGGGGTGATGCTGGGCACAAAGCACTCGGGAGGACCCCCATCCCAAACAAGCAGTAGCAGCTGCCCCACAGAGCAGTGAAGCTCTCTTGTGCCACAGGGTGAGGGGGTGGTGGGGAGCTCACCTTCTCCCCTTGCCCCAGCCCTTGGCTCATCCTGACCACCCAGGAGGGTGAGCAGAGCCACCAGAGCCATTGGCCCTGGGCATGGCACCCCAGCCCTTCTCTACATGACAGGAAGGAAGGAGACACCTGGGAAACTAGATCACTACAAAATTTTTTGCTTTTTAAAAACTACAACCAAAAACTTAAAAAAAAAAAACCAAAAAAAACCAAAAAAAAAACCAAAAAAAAAAACCAAAAAAAACCAAAAAAAACCAAAAAAACCAAAACCACCACCTCCCCCCACCCTTCCCAAAATCTAAAAAATACTTTCTTCTGCGTCTCGCAGGAGAGCGGCTCGGCTGCGGCCAGGCACGGGCTCAAGAGCCCTGGGCACATGTGGCTTCAGAGGGTGCAGTGGGGCAGGAGGAGCTGGCCCCAGGAGAGGCCAGAGGGGGCCCAATGCTGATGGGACCAGTAAGCTCACATAACAGGGAAGGGCTGGGAGCATCTGCAGAGAGCAGGCACCATCCCTGGGTCAGGCTCTCAGCGCCTCGCACCCCAAAAGCCGCACACATCAGCCCAGCAAGCAGAAGCAGGGCTATGCCTGTGTGAGCCAAAGGCAAGGGGGGCTGCCTCAGAGCACCAGCCCACCTGCAGTGAGCCCACAGCCCCTGGTTCAGTGGCCGCTGTTACTCATGGAGAGCCCAGGCTGCAGCGCTTGTGGGAACATCTCAGCTTTGTGGAAGGTCGGCATGTAGACAGGAGGGGAGGGTGCCAGGCTGTAGCCCTGGGACGTCACTGGGATGGGCAGAGTGGAGGGCACCAGGGGCTGGTTCATGTCATACATCATCCCCTCTGCCTCGTTGCCGTAGGGCAGCAGCAGCCGTTTGCCTTTCTGACGCCGGTTGCAGAACCAGACCCGGACCACCTGTGGGAAGGGAGACAGAGAAGGGTAAGGGGGTGACCCAGGCACACCATGTGGGTGACAAGGAGACCCTTCTGCTGGTGGCAGATCTCCACAGCACCCCAAACTGCCAGTGCAGCCCCCTCCCTGTCACAACTCCTTGCTAGGCTCAGCTCAAACTTCAGCCATGAGCACTTTCCCACTGCTTCCAGAGCTGAGAGATGACAAAAATGGCAAATGTTAAATAGGAAAGAAGGTAACAAATCAAAAGAAAGGCTCCTCCCTCCCTAAAGACTGGCAGCATAGCAGGATTAAGCCAGTACGCAAACTTGGCATTGTTAGTGGGTCGTGGTTTGTCTCTTCTGGTGCATTTCCACTTTAGAAGAAAAACATTGTAACTATCCATGTGGGTTCTTGGGATCAAAAATCAGCTTCTTCAGAGATGAATTAGTATCAAAGAATTACTTTTATCAGATTACTTTCACATATTTATGTACATATACACAAACACGGATGCCTGTAGTTGGGTCTGGGAACTGTTTTTGTCTCTGCAGTTTTAAATATTTAATCTGTGAACAAAAGTCTTCTCTGGAACCAAGCGGGTTTTTCTTTTTCATATTGGTAAGCCATACATATCCTAATTGTCTGGCACAGCTAAAGGGCAGTTGTTTACATCTCTTCATGTGTATTTCATTTTTGCTCTGAGCTAAAGTATCAAACTGTCAGGTGCTCAGGAGCTGGCATCGTTAGGGCATCCATCCTCCCCACCCTCCCAACATACATCTTTATCCAGGTTGAGGTCCTCAGCGATCTGGGAGATCTCCTGGGGACTGGGCTTCACACACTTGCGGAAGAAGCTCTCCAGTGTCCCTTTCACGTTGGTCTCAATACTGGTCCTGCGTTTTCTCTTCCGGGCTTGGGCTAGTACTTGCTCTGCATTGCACATCTGAGAATGAGAGAAGGAACAAGTTTTGCTACCAGGTGGAAGAGTCTCCACCAGGCTTGGAACACGTGCAGCTGGCTGCAGAGCTTGAGGCACAGATTGTGTCCCTGTGACTCTCCACTGAGCATCATTCTACTGTGACTGGGGCCATTCCCAGTGTCCCAGCACTGCCAGCAGTGAAGTTGGACATATCTTTCTACATCCCCCCCAGGTTCCCCAGGGAGCGGTAAGCTGCATAATCAGTCTGAGATTCCAGCAGGACCTGGTTACTCAAAATGGGAGCTTGTCACAATCACAACGTTTCTGCAGGGGGATTGGGCTTCCTCCCCCAGCCTGACAGAAAGCGATACCCAGTGGTTTGCCCTCAAGCCAAGCTCAAGCCATGCAGCAAGATGGTGCTGTGGCACAAGATGCCTTCTGTTCCCCTCTTCTCTCCCTGAAAGCACGTGGGAGAGGCAGGAGAATCTGTGGCTCAGGGCTTGCAGGTACCCGGCTCCCAGCCCCCTCAGCCCTGCACCTCTTGCATGTTGTCCGTGTTCTCCGCCTCATTGAGCCAGCGCTGCAGCAGCGGCTTTAGCTTGCACATGTTCTTGAAGCTGAGCTGGAGCGCTTCGAAGCGGCAGATGGTTGTCTGGCTGAACATCTTCCCTGCACGGCCAAGGCAGGCAGGGCATTACACACCACACAGCTTCCCTCGCCAGCAGCTCCCCAGGATCACCACCCCCAAGCTTGCCCTGCTCCTGTCACCAGGAAAGGCATTCTCCCTGTTCCTTCAACAGGGATTTAAACCCCAGAAATACGCTCAATAAGCAACTGTAGCTATTTTAAACCAGTTCCCTGTGAGCTCGAAGCTTCTATCTCACCGCAGATCTGGAGATACCCCTCCAGGAGCCCCGGCCCTGGACTGGGGATTGATGCCTCCTTCGCAGCTCGTTAAGGAGCAGAAACCATTATCCCAAGTGATTTCAAATCCCTCGCGGGCCTCTCCCTTCCCACCGGCTGTGGGGTACCGCAAGGGCCTTTCCCCTCCCCCGCACCCCCGCCCCCCGACCCCTCACCGTAGAGGGTGCCCAGCGCCAGCCCCACGTCAGCCTGGGTGAAGCCCAGCATGATGCGCTTGTGCTTGAGGTCCTTGGCGAACTGCTCCAGCTCTCCTGAGGTTGGCGCATCCTGGCGAGGGCAGAAAGACACTGAGAAGGGAAAACTCGCGCCCCGGGTCCAGGGTCTGTTGGAGTCCCCGAAGGACAGCGGTAGAAGAAGGCTCGGCTGAGCCCTCGAGCACTGACACCGACCAGGGACAGGACTGGGTGGGTCACACAGGACCCACCCCGACCACGCACGCTGCTCAGCTAGATCCAATCTGGCATGGCGGTGCCAAGGGTAGCACAAGGGCACCGAGAGCTCCTGCTCTGCCTCAACACGCCTTGGAAATGTTCTCTTTGTCCTCTGTCTCGCGCCCTGTTGGCCTGGCCAGAGGCAGCACCAATGATCACCTTGGCCAAGTCCCAGTTTCGCCCCATTCTCACTCATCCCACGACACGTGCGCACGGGGACGTTCGGTTCTCCCGCGGCGTGGGCCGCTTCCCCACGGCTCTCGGGCTGAGGCAGCCTCTCACCAGCCTCTCTCCCGCCTGCGGCCGGAGCAGGGAAAAGACTCCGGCGAAGAGAGGGACAAAAGCGCCCCTGAGCCGCGTGCAGTTTAAGCACCTCTTTGCTACCAGCCGGCTCTTCTGTTTTGGCAAGCGGCTACCCAGGCGCTTCCCACCTTCCTGCCGCACAGCCTTCAGCCTCTACGGGGTCATTTTGAAGCCATTTAAACAATTTACACGTTTTCAGCGGGGTTTCGGGTTTTTCAAGAGTTTTTCCTGTCACCGAGCCACGGCTATTAGTTTCTGGCGTATAATCGGCACCGGTAAACTCAGAGCATCCCTCCCATGGAGGAGGGATGCCATCCCAGATCACCGTCCCGCAACTAGAAAATGCCATTCATGACCACTTCCCACCCAGAGCGGCCGGTTGCGGCCCGAGGACACACAGGTAGCGACCTCCCGCAGCTCCGACCCGCTGGCGGCAGTGCGAATCCTCCCCAACCCCGTCAGGGACCAGCCCCCGGCATCGGCCGCCGCTGCTCTCCCCGGGGCTGGATCGTGATACGTCAACATTGAAAAATATTAAAAACTAGCCCAAACCACAAATTTAGTCGTGCCGGGAACCAGCCCTGCTGCCCCCGTCTTCCTCCCGCTCTCATCTCCGGGCTATCTCTGCCCCAACAAACTTCAGTGCCCGTGGAGCTGCGGGAGCGGATGCAGCCGACCGAAGGGGGCTGAGCGGGTGGCCAGGAGCCCTCGGTGACCGCGCTGCGCTGCCCCGAGTACCACGCCGGAGCCGACCTTTGACATCGCTACCCGGGACGGCCACGCCACATCGCGTACGGGAAGCTGCTCTCCCGAGTTCCCAAAACTCCCTATCTTACCCCAAAGCAGCCTCCTCAAAGCTCTACCCCTGCGGAGAGACTGACACGTGCGGGACGAGTCCCAGCGCTGGGTCAGGGCTTCTCCCGGGGGCACCCGACGGTGGGCCCCGACAGGTGGCACCGGCGGCTCTCGGCGGTACACGAGAGCAGCAGGGCAGCTCCTGCCGACGGGGCGGTGAACCGCGGCTCCAGACGGGAAGGAAAGCCCCAGGGGCACACCGTGTGCAGACGGCAAGAGTGGGACAGGGCAGCCCGCCCCGTCCCCGTCCCGTCGGGTCTCACCTCCTCTCCACTGTCGCTGGAGTGTCCGCCTTCGCTGGCGGCGCCGCTGGAGCTGCCGCTGCTGCCCAGCCCCGACGGGCCGCCGGAGCCCGGCTGCAGCGCGGCGGGGCAGAGCTGGGGGCCAGGGAAGGCAGGGGCAGCCGGGCCAGGGAAGGGCGGCCCGGGCAGGGCGGCGGGCAGGCGCGGGCCGGCGGCGGGTCGCGGGCGGGCTCGGGCTCGGCGGTGGCGGCGAAGGGGAAGAAGAGCGGCTGAGCGGGCGCCCCGTCGAAGGTGCCGCGAGGGAAGGGAGGTCCGGCGTCCGTCAGAAGGCCGAAGGGGGCGGCCGGCAGCCCCCCGTCCGGGCTGAACATGCTGCCCGCCGCCCGCTGCCCTAGGGCTCCATGCGGGGGCTGCCGGCCGCTGCCTCCCTGCTGGGGCGCCGCTGGGGCCTCTGAGAGCGGCGGGGCCGGGCCGGACCGGATGGAGATAGGCCCCGGCCCCATTGGGCCCCGCATCGGTGGGTCGGGCGTGAACTTGATCCCCCAGGGGGGCGGGGGGCACGGTGAGAAGGTGCTGTTGGGAGGGGGCTGCTCCGGCCCGCGCCCAGCGCCGGCGGGGAGGTGGACGGGGCGGCCCCGATGGGGCGGGGAGGGAGAAGACACCGATCTTGCTGCGGGGTCTCACACCCGTCCAGTCGCGGGAGACTCGAGGACACCCGCGTCCCTCGCACCCCTCCGGCCCCACGCAGTTCGGGGGGCACTGCGCCAGTGTTAGGACAGAAGCAGCCATGGGGTCTTCCCAGCTGGGAACCCCCAGCGCTGCGGAGTCTAGGCAAGGAACGGGGTGGCTTTGAGGAGCTATCGGTGGCATGAACCGGAGCCCGGGGCTAGTGTGAGGGCAGCCTATCCATTTGTGGCAGCCACTTGTCCCCAGTACAGACAAGCCCCGCGATGCCGGTGTCATTGTGCAGCAGCAGAGGTGGTCCAGAGCTTGACCATCACCTCTTGCCCCTCTTAATGCCTGGTCTTCTTGATTGGGCCGTAGCTCCTTGGGGAGCATGGACAGAGATGAGGCTCCCCAGGCCCCTTACAGTCTCACCATTCCTCTCCTCTTTCTCACTCTGCAGAGGAGGGTTGTGGCTTGTTGGAGCGTGTGTGTCCCTGTGGCCTCAGAGCTCGGAGTGCACTGCCGGGGAAGGAATTGCAGCCCCAGCTATCATGTCTCCACAATGAAGCACACTCTATATTTTCTCTGTCTTAAAGACATTCCCTTCACACTGCCCTTCACAATGGTTCTACCAGGGCTGGCTCGGCTCCAGTCATTTCCCCTTTCCTTCCCTCCTGGCTCAGCACCGGGAACCTTCCAGATCCTGACACTGCCATGCCATCAGCCTCTGCCCAATGCCAGTTCCTGCATATGGGCAGGTACCAACAGCATGGGCACCCCCTGGCCTCAGCTGGAGCAGGGCGAGGAGTGCTCTTTCTGCCAGCACCCGGTGATCCCAGCCAGAGCAAGGCAGGGAGTGATCCTGCTGCTGACACTGCTGCCTGTTTATTAACCCGGATTACCAGGAGCTGCTGCCGTCTCGCACTGGAGATATGGTGAGGAGATAGGCTAGAGCAGCCTCCCCCGCGGCTTGATGGGAATGGGGCTGTGGGCAGGGGAAGGTGCTTGGTGATGTTTATGAAGCACTTGCTTTGGCTGCTGAGATGGCTGGAACCCAGGAACTGGCACCCAGGGAGTGATGCCCTGGGACAGGCACCCAAGGGCTGGCAGACAGAGACTCATACCCACAGCTGGCATCCAGGGACTGGCATCTAGGGACTGGTATCCACAATGCCAGCAGCAGCCCCTGGCCCAGCACATGGCACTGCTGCATGTCAGGGAAGTGGAACAGCTGAGCCTCCTGATGATATTCCTCTTAGGAAAAAAAATGGCCCAGTGGATGAGCTGGAATTAATGTCTGTTCCTGACGCCCGTCAGGACATGTACCAGGCTGCTCATCCTGGCTGTGCCAGGCTGCTCCAGAAGGGAGGGCAGCCCCAGGAAAACGAACTAAGGATTCAAAAACCCTGTCAGTGGGGCCGTGGGCAGCCCTGAGTGAGCCCTGTGGCTTCTGGACCTCAGGGGTCCCATGCCCAGAGTGGTGAAGCACCTTCCCCAGCAGGGGCTGGATGCAATCTGCCAAGGGACTCCCTGGACCGTGCTGCTGAGGATGCTGGAGCCAGTGCCGTGCGGGCAGACCTGCCCACTGCCTGCTGTGCTGCTGCCTGCCCCGCTGCCAGCGGGCAGAGGAAATCTCTCTGCGGGACCCCGATGGCAGCCATCAGCCCTGCTCCTCCCGGGCTCCTGCTGCGGCCCAGGGTTTCAGAAGCTCCTTGGCTAGGCAGCAACTCCCTTTCCCTTTGATTTATTGTTCCCGGGCTGGACCCCCTCCTCCTGCCAACCTACTTTTCTCTCCATCCCCCCGGGAAGCCTCCCAGGCCTCCCTCCCCCCCCTCTGCCTCTCCTTCCACCCCCCACCCCCCCACCCCCCGGCCCTCAAACGCATTCCTTGTCCTTTCATATACAGACCGAGGGGAAGGGAGACGTTGACTTTGAACCGGCCCCTTTGTAGGCACGGGAGCCCATTGTGGCAGTGATGGTTTTAGCTGGGGGATGTGGAAGGAGTCAGTGGGGTTTCTCGGTGTGTGCCCCCCCCATACATTTCAATGATTTTGGGTGATTTGAGGGGGGGGACTGTGTGAGGTTATTGTGTAGGGTCTTTGAGCACCAGTGACTGCATCTCTTCTGCCTGCTCCGGAGGAGATGGATGCATGCATCCTTCCATCAGCCCATATCTGGAACCTGCTAGTGTTCCAGCCTTAGCCTGCCTGTCTAAGGCAGCCAGGGATCAGTGGGATCCTGCTAAGAAAATGAGAGCAGAAAGAAATGCGTCTACTTTACTGGCTCGCTCAGATGGCAGCAGGCTGGAGTGGGCTGAGATGTACATCTGCTCATCCTCCCTTTGCTGAGTGTGCTGGTGTGACACCGGTGCTTGGGATTTTAAGAGAGTGGATGAGCACGGATGATGTTTTATTCATGGTCAGGCCACCCTTTTCTGTGGCAGGTGATGGAAGGGCCATTGCGGGGGGGCTGTGCTGGATACCCCTGAGTTGCCCACTGAAGGGGTGCTGCAGTCCTGCACGGGGTCCCATGGTGAGGGGGCCGCTCCAGGACCTTCTAAGGAGGGCTGGACACGGGGTTCATCTCCAGAAACCCCATGCCTGGAGGAACGCCAATCTGCTCCCTGTCAGCACAGCTTGCTGGGCTGCAGCTGGCCTAGAAGGACGGTATGGAGTCAGTGCTTCCAAACCTAGCCCAGGGGAAATCACAGAGGGTGTTTGGGTCCGGTTCTGTCCCCTTATTACAAAGGCCCTGGTCTCACCCACACCACCACAGTGCCTGAACACACCAGTGGGCTCACCTTCTTGTGTTACAGCTGGGGGAAGTGAGGCTGAAGGCCTTGGATGTCTGCATCGGGGCTCTTGTCCCTGGACAAATGACTCTTCCATGCCTGGATGTGTGGTAGGGACAGGGATTCCCAAGGCATACAGGGCTCCTGTGGCCTCCTCCATGCCTGGAGCAAGGGGGTCTTCCCAGGCAGAAGAGTCAAGTTTTACTATAAGTTGGAGCTTTCCAAAATGTCTGGATGTGCTCCAAGAGAGATTGCTGGGTTTTGGGAGCAAAGAATGGACAAATCTGGGGACCTCGGCAGAGAGGAGTGGGTTCCAGGGTTTTCCCAGGACTGAGCCCTGGGGGCATCTTGGATTATTTGGGGTGTGCATCGCCCGGGGGTGCAGCTGGAGACTCCCGAGAGAGCGTCCTGGGTGGGTGCTTTGGCGGTGAGTCAGCACCCACCTCGGGCTGCTGAAACCTGGAGAGATGGTATCAGCCTGATGGGGGGGCTGCCGTGATCAAAGGAACTGGGCTGCACACAATGCGGGGACTTGATAGCCCTTATCTGTCATCCCCGAGGTGCTAAGGGCCCAGGGGCAAGGGGCGGAGGGGGGTGGGTGCTGGGTGCTGCAGAGCTGGGTGCGGGGGCTCCCATCCGACCTTTCGCTGGAGAAACCTGGCAAATACTGAGATACAAGAAAATTATCCCCGGTTCTTTATGTGCCCGAGAAAACCCTCGGGAAGGGTTTGAACACTCCTCCAGCTGCAGAAGCAGGATGGCTGCTCACTGTTCCCTGGGGAAGGTTTGGGGACCCACAGCAGGGAAGACTCCCTTCTTGTCCCCTTGTCCCACCCCGCTGTCGAGAGGAGCCCCCCAAACCTCGGGCCCCACACCACACACTCGCATGGGTCTCAAACATGGTCGTTTAATAAAATCTCCTTTTAAAAGAACTACAATTCATACAACAACAACGAGAGGTGTGGGAAGAGTGGCAGCAGCCCAGGGGAGGGGGAGTACAGGACATGGGGACAGAATCTGTGCAGTGATGGCCTCTGTCAGCCACCCTGCCAGGGACAGGGACGGTCCCATGCCACCACAACTCACCAGCACATCCCTGCCACTGCTACCTGCCCTGCCCATGCCTGTCTGAGTGTGCAATGGCTCCAGGGAGCATAACCGGTGACCTGTGGCCGTGACAGTCCACAACAGGGTCTGGACATGAAGCCACACGTGTGCAAAGTAATCCAAACCCTGTTCTGGGCCTTCCACTGGAGGGGTTCATGGCCTATGCCCCCGGGAGGGTTTGAGGAGCAGCACTGGGCTCCAAGCAAGAACATGTTGGTGAGGCTGGATGCAGGCAACAAAGGGATGCAGGGAGTGTCTGCAGCCTGAAAGGTGCCTAGGATGGAGCTTTGGAGACTGTCACCTGCCACAGAGGGATGCTCAGAGAATGCACAGTGCCAGGCTCCACATGGATGCTGCCAGGGCATGGGCTCTGTGGGGTTTGAAGCAGCACAGCAAAGCCCCCATGCCTTGGCTACCCCTCTCAAGCCACCCCAGCTCCCTCCAGTCCTGTTCCTTCCTCCCCCACAGACACATAAGCTTAAAAACAAAACCTTGAACACTTTTTCTGAGCTTTTACCCCACTGAGGCCTGTGATAAGAGAGAGCCCATCCTCTGCCAGCACAGACTGATGTGGGCTCCCAGGCCACAGTGGCACTGGGACTGTCCTGAAGCCCAGCACTTTTAAAGGGGTCAGAGCACAGGGCAGCATCTGAAGGAGCAACCTGGGGAGTGATGCCGGTGCCTGCTTGTGCTGCTCCTGCTCCTGCCACTGGCTCCCAGAGCACTGTCCTGCTGCCAGGAGCTGCCCAGGCTGGGGTGCAGGAGGCAGAATGGGCACTGAAGCCCTTAGTGTTGCCACCTGCTCCG